GAACTGTACCCAGCAGTCAGGCAGTGCCCTGCCCTGCTGAGGGAGACTGTCTTGGCACTGCAAACAACCAGGCTGAGATTATTTCAACAAAGAACAAAAGATCTCAGCGTCCTTTGGCAGGTGTAAGTTTGTAATTGATTACTGTAATTATAATGGGTTAAAAAAGGACTGTTGAAGGGAAGATTCAGGAAGGGAAGGTGCAGTTCTCAATTCTAAAATAGCCCCATCTTTCTGTTCAGACATATATTTCTCTCCTAAAAATTAATTGCTAAATACAAAAAAAAGAAAATCATAATCAAACGGAGGAAAGAAATTCTGATTATAGGTAAAGCAGAGAATGTTAAAGGATTGGGCGCAAAGGACACACAATTTCTTTTCATTGTTGATAGCAAGTACTTCCTTGCTTTTCTAATGCCAGGATATAATTTTAAATTCCAGAATGTCAACCACGAACTGAATTTTTTTTTAGGACATGCAAACAAAAGGGGTAAAAGTTACCAGAGAATTTAGATGATGCTCATTTTTCTATTCTTCTCATCTTATAACATTTTGTGTCAATCTTGTGCTGCTGTGTACTTAAAATCTGTTACTATAAGTTGAGAATACTTTCTCTGAAAGCTTAGGATGAGAAGTTTTCAGATTTCTGATCCTGTTTCCAACTTTGGAATATTTCCATATGCATAATGAGACAGCTTGGAGATGGGACCCAAGTTGAACATAAAGTTCATTTATGCTTCATATGCATCTTGCCCACACAAACCGATGGTGAATTTATATAATATTTGTAGGGCATCTGCATTTTGACTACAACCTGTCACAAATCTTCCATCTGTGATGTCATGTGGGCACACAACATATTTTGAATTTTGGAGTATTTCAGATTGCAAATTACTCAGCCTGAACTTTTTCTCCACATCTTTGAAAGACAGTCTAGGATCTTTGGGTGAAAACTGTAGAAACAGATTTTCCTTTTCCAGTTGGGCCCCTTTGCCAGTGTCTGACCAATAATGTCATCTCAGTGAGGATGTAACTACATTCAGGTGCTTAGAGAAAGGGGATGTGAAAAAAAGGGGGTTCTAACATATTAGCAGAGGAATGCCACGCTTAAAAATTTGTTCTTTTTTTTTTTCTCTTTATTTTGGATGCAAATATTCTCTTTAACAGATTACTCAATGAATTTTAAGTACATAAATCATCAACTTTAAGTGTCTTAAAATATTTGTATTTATATTAATTTAAAAGAGTAAAACTACCACCCACATCAAGACATTGAACAATAATGTGAAAGCCACATAGTTTCTTAAATGTGAAATTTCTTGTAATATCCTTGTTTCTGCCTAGTAAGCATGTTATTCTTCATTTATAGGACCAAAGAGTTTCTACTACCTTTAAATTCCTTGAACCTTTGTTTTATACAAATGCGTCTCAGATCAGGGACTGATTTTTATTTTTTACTCAATTTGGATCTTAATTTAGTCAGTTTATGAATATAATTCATCTATAGCTCTTAGTAACTTTTATGCAAGTTTTAACACATCTTTGGTAATTTTCTTTTGCTACCTTTTCTTGGTTTTTCACTTGTTTTCAATTTCAGAAGCTTGAAATGTATAAATCTCGTTTTGTCCACAACTCAGTTACAAACTGACTTTGATGAACTGCCACCTGATACAGTATTGGCTTCCCAATTCAGTATTTCAAACATATCCAACCCTTTCAAATCAGTGCTTTGGAAATTGGTGCCTTACATTATCAGTATTAACCTTATGAACTTGTGAGTTTTTTAAGGAAATAAAACTGTACCATTTTCCAATTTTGTCAGATTAATATTCAGCATGTCTTTTACTTTCCCTATCCACAAGAACAAAGCACTTTTACCTAATACAAACTTGGCTTAACAACATGCATTTTTATAATATTGCATGGCAAAAATAAAACTATTTATTTGCCCAATACGCTGCGTATTGACATGTACTTTGATAGTTTAAAAATGACATAAATTGAAAATTTTAGATTAAGCTTACAAATCTACAGTTCACAATCGATTTTGTCTACCAACAATTTAGTTCTCAAATAAAAACACTTGGCAAAATTTAGCCTTTGTTTGCAAATTGCAGCTGGTGACAAACAGGATTGCAGCCATCTTTCCACACAAATGGTCATCATGGAACAAATTAAGTTCACAAACCAAGATACCACTATATTTTATATTTGGGTTTATTATCCTATATATAACAATTTTATTCCTCATCCTTCTTAACTTGTTTTATCCATCAGATCTTTCATAAAATTAGCTCCCTCTTATTTTAAATTTTTGTGTTGGCTGCAATAAATCACTCACCAACATTCTCAGAGAAGTTTCTTAGTCAATATACTTTCTTAAACCCTTGATATCTGAGAATGTCTTCTAGTTGCTTTCATACACAAACACTAGCTTGGCAAAGTATATGATTCTTGGTTAAAAATTATTCTCCCTTAAAAGTCTATAGATGTTCCTCCATTGTCTTCTTGCATTTAGAACTGCAAGAGAAAAAGCTGAGGTCAGTATGATTTTTGCTCCTTTATTGGTAGCCTGGTTTCTCTGTCTAGACGTTTGGGAAAGTTTTCTCTTTATCATCGAAATTTTAAAAAGTCTCTAGGATGCATCTAGGCGTTGCTTTCACCTCAAAATATTTTAAAGATATCCTATGAGCCTTCTTCCTTTGCAGGACTACTTTGTTCTTCAACTCTGGAAATTTTTCTTCAGTTATTTCCTAAATTATTGTTTTGGCTTCATTTGCTTTGTTTTCTATTTCAGGTATTCCTACACTAAGTAGACTGAATTTACTGAACAGGGCCTCTACATCTCTTTTTCTCCTCTTAATTTCTTTGCCCTTTTCCTCTGAATTCTGTAGGAATTTCTTTCATTGGTATTTACTTTCACAATTTTGTTTTGTGGCAAAGCCCAGTGATGACACTTCCTCTAAGAAGAAGGCCATGATCTCTCCCATGTGATCACACACTACTATGTGCTCTATAACTAAACCCACATAGGTAATGAATTGTCTTATAATATATTCTAGACGATCACCATGGATTGCTATATCAGCATCAAGAAATGACATTTCCACAGTTACTTAGCTCTGTTCTTTTCTTCTGAACAACTTCGAACTTCTCAACAGCTCTTCTCCATGGGATTAAAATATGTGGTCTCCCAAAGCACCAAAGTTGAAGAATCTATGCTTAAAATCTTAAAGTGCTCCCTCTGTTCAAGAAGCTTCTGGTTCCAAATGGTACAGATAAAGAGCAAGGCATTTGCTGCTTCTATGCTATACAAAAGTTTTGAGATTAAATTTGACTATTTTTTCTTGAATCCCAAACTGATCATAAGTACATAGCCTGCATAGTGACTATTGTTACCTTTGATTTTCATCCCCTTTCTTTATTTTTTCGTGTTGCTGCCTTCACTCTCTTTTCACTCCTGAGTTTCCTTTTTAATTGATGTTTTCCATCACACCAAGATTCAGTTATTATAAACTCCTGTGTGTACTAACCTCTGACTACCCAGAAGTATCACCAATAGCTAGCCGCCTGTAACATACAGCAAGGAACATTTTTGTGCTAACCAGAAAAACCTCTGAAGAGCTCAGGACCCACGTCTGGACGTTCTTCTAGTTACTGGTTGCAAGTATGAGAAGTGGCTCTTGGAATATATTGTTTCATTTAAAAATTATTAAAAATAATTACTGAATTGAATTTTTGGTATCAATTCATGTGAACTTTTCCCACAAGAATCATTGTTTTAAATTATTTTGCAAGGATAGTAAATAATAGTTCTTTTTCATAATTAAAAAATAACTGATTCTGTCCTAAACTCTTTGCAATCAACTGGCCTTGCATGATAACCAAAGAGGAAAAAAGAGCACAGTGCAGCTGGCTTATGGGTAATGATAGACCTAATAAAGAAAAGGTCAGCTGAACTTTAAAATCCGTGAGACCATTTTTAGCATTGGAAAGTCTTGACACAGCTCCTTACATAAACCAGCTGCAATGTGGACTGATGTAATAGACCAGTGACAAAGGAGAGTTTCTCATAGAACTCTTTCCCAGGAGGCTGGTATGCTTTTAGGTAAGCCCTATTTACATCTGGACCATAGACATGACCTTTGTCTATAAAGCAATAAAAATGATTTCTAGAGATTAAAAACCTACTTTTAGATGGAATACTAACCAAATGAGGCTGATACAATGACAAAATAAAAGAAGCAGCTAAAAATGATTTTAATACAATCTCTGATTTATTAAAGCTAAGAGATAAATGACAGTAAGTGGACATTAGTGCTTTGCAGGGAAAGCCAGTAGGCACAGGCCAGCTGCAAGGAGCGTACTGGATTACTTAGGACAAACTGTCAACCGATTACCACAGGAAACGTTGCCAAAGTTGTCCTTTAGATGCCTTTCCTTATTTTAAAGAAAGAAAAATCTCTCTTTTGTGAATGAACTACATTTATTCTTGCTGGAAAGTCGAAAGGCAAACCAGCTGGTCATTCAAGCTTCTTGAGATACGGTGGTGCTTTCTTTCACATTAACAGGGAGCCTTGGTGGTGGCCAGCTTCAGGGATGATTGCCAATGATTGTCCAGGTACTAAGTGGTCAAGCTGAAACAGAAATCCAGTTCTTTCAACTTCTAGACTGTGATTATTTTAAAAAAAAAAGAAAAGAAAAAAAAAACTAGCTCTTGGATCCATTTACACCAAATACCCAGAGTTAAATCCTAGCGTCTTTGCCAATATCAGATTCACTATGATTGTGAGTATCATTTCCACTCGATTCATGCCTTCTGCAAGTAATTTGCTCTGCATAAACCAGAGACTAGAACCCCATCTAAACAGTCAGTTGAGTTAAACTTAGAGAACCTTAATTTCAAAGCCATGCTATGCCAAGCAACAGTTCTGTGTGACATGGGTTCTAGCAGCGTCACCAAATCTGGCCATTGACCAAATACTTCCTGTTTATCTCTGCAGGTTTCACAGCGGCAGCCTCCCTAGTCTCCTTGGCTTGGGCCCTGGCCTCTTACCAGAAGGCCCTGCGAGACTCTAGAGATGACAAGAAGCCCATCAGCTACATGGCTGTCATCATCCAGTTCTGCTGGCACTTCTTTACCATCGCCGCCAGAGTCATCACCTTCGCTCTCTTCGCCTCGGTTTTCCAGCTGTACTTCGGGATCTTCATTGTTCTCCACTGGTGCATCATGACCTTCTGGATCGTCCACTGTGAGACAGAATTCTGTATCACCAAATGGGAAGAGATCGTGTTCGACATGGTGGTGGGGATCATCTACATCTTCAGTTGGTTCAATGTCAAGGAAGGCAGGACACGCTGCAGGCTGTTCATTTACTATTTTGTGATCCTTCTGGAAAACACTGCTTTGAGTGCACTCTGGTACCTCTACAAGGCTCCCCAGATAGCAGACGCCTTTGCCATTCCGGCACTCTGTGTGGTGTTCAGCAGCTTTCTCACCGGCGTGGTTTTTATGCTGATGTATTATGCCTTTTTCCATCCCAATGGGCCCAGGTTTGGGCAGTCACCGAGTTGTGCTTGTGAGGACCCCGTCACTGCCTTCTCTCTGCCTCCAGAAGTGGCCACAAGCACCCTCCGGTCCATCTCTAACAACCGAAATGTCTCGGGTGAGCGTGATCAGAAGTTTGCAGAGCGCGATGGGTGTGTGCCTGTCTTTCAGGTGAGGCCCACTGCCCCGTCCACCCCATCATCTCGCCCACCACGGATTGAAGAATCGGTCATTAAAATTGACCTGTTCAGGAATAGGTACCCAGCTTGGGAGAGACACGTGTTGGACCGAAGCCTACGAAAGGCCATTTTAGCCTTTGAATGTTCCCCCTCTCCTCCAAGGCTGCAGTACAAAGACGATGCCCTTATTCAGGAGCGGCTGGAATATGAAACCACTTTATAAAACAGAAGGACTTGTGGGAGCCACAGTGTCCAGAAGAGGGGTGACAGCAGGGCCGTGGCAATAACAACACTTCATCCTAAGTAGGGCGACGGGCTGTAATGTTCTTAGTGTGACCATCATCATAATCGTGGATTAATCTTCATCAGCTGACTGCTTGTTGCTGGGCTCCTTTCAAACCAGCAGCACTGAGAGCCTCTTACTCCACCTGAAGGAGCCAACACCAATTTCCTATGACTGTTGCTCCCAAACTCCTCCTGCAGTCTGGGAGCGCATCCAGCACCACCAGAGGGTACTATTATCACAGAAAACATCTCCAGTCAATAGGGTGTTCTGATGGAGTTTACTGAGTTTCACATAAAGCTATATTCATACATTCACTGACATACACACACACTCACACACACACATGCACACACTCACACTTGTCTCTGTTAAAATAGCTTAGGTGATTTTTCTTGACTGAAAGCTCTGATTCCCACAGGAATGTAAGAACAAAGAGATAGAAAATGTATCCCTCAAGGCTCCAGGAGAAAAAAAATAATACTCCTTAGAAAAGAATTCATAAACCATTTCCTCATTTGAAAACCGTTACTATGTGTGAAGAAGTGGACAGTAAACTCAAGTTCGTTTACACATGTGTTAGCAGTGATGGAATGATTTGTTTTCTACACATTTCCGGATTTGTTTTTTTATTTTCAGCTTTCAGTTGAAAACATCTTTTGTGACAGAAATCCTATGCAGCACATGTATGGCTTTCAACAAGACCAAGGAGCTCGATAACTTTGTGATATAAATGAAACAATAGTCATGATTCAGTATTCAATTGCAAAAAGTTAATAGCTATACAAAGAGAAGGTTGGGGGAGACAAAATGACAATCCAGTTCCCAGATATGAGCAGCTCACATTGGAATGTAAGGGAGAGAGATAGGCTGGCTGCAACTGCAGAGTGAGGGGCTCACTCTGTGTATATGTGAGCAAATTGATTCCGGAAGACGCCAAACCACACCTTTACCGTGCCAAACTCCATCCAACCAGAGGACTGACGTGGAAGCTCCAACCACTGAGAGTATGTGGCATGAGCCCCCCAAAAGCAGACAAGAGGATAAACAATCACGCTCTCCACTGTGTACAGACTTACCCATCCCCAATCCAAGGTCAGAGTGACTTGTCTTTTAGGCGTTGGGATACTTTAGTAAGTATGAGCATACAAATGCAGTGAATATGCTCTGAGGAAACCCTCTGAACTGCTTGAGGGCTTATCACTACATCCAGCTAAGATTTATATTTGAATCATCTGTAAAGTCGTACTCTTACAAGCTTCTGGTTTTAAATACCTCCGTCCAGCAAGTAAACATTCCCTGCTTTCTGTTCTCAGTGTCCTTGGTCATGGTGCTTTTTGTTGCATTAAAAGTGCCGGTCAAACTTTGATAGTATTTTTTTATAGTTGGTGCAGAGTGGAATAACTCATGGATTATTTCAATATTTTTGTAATAAAATATATAGGGTATGCATATAGGCATTATCACTTTTTTTATAGACCTGGAATTATTTAAAATACTTCAAGCATTGTAATTACTTGGGATGTCAGAAACTGGTCCACAAATCCATCAGCCTTCATTGGCAGATTGAAAACACTTGTCTCATGCAAGAACACTCTACTTTGCAAGTTGGTGTCCCCAGGAACCTGGCCAGGGGTGCTATCAGAATATCAATGAAGAGAGAAGTAGCCTAAATAGAAAGGGCTTGTCAAGACTGGCCAATGTTTCCCACAAAATCAAAGATGTAAATGATTACTTTCATCGGTCCATTGTAACAAACCTGACCACAGTGGAAGATGTCTTAAATATCCTTCCTAGGTTTTATACTAACCCCACTGATATACTAAAGATTAATGAAGTCACTTGGAAGGAGGGAGGGAGTCAGTTTAACCTAATCATTCACTTATCTGGATTGTCCAAGTCACTACAAATAGTTAAGTTCTACAGCTGTCACCTGTAACGTGTGTGTCACCCAGAGACTGCCACCCCTATGATGACATCCACAGAAAATGACAGAGGGCTTAACCTAGGACTTGTTTTGGTACAAAGCCTCAAAGCAGTTTTTAAAAGATAAACAATTTTTATCAGTAGACATATTTCCTAGTACTCCGTAATTTGATCCTCCAAGCAAGATTTTCACTAAGAAAGATTAATCATCGGATGGAATGTGGAAAGATGATCTGTGTCACTAGTAAAGCTCCAGGAGGACATGATTCTTGTCAGCACTTTGTGCAACAGTTCACCCCCACTGTGAAGGAAAAAGTGATCATTTTTGACAAAGTCTTCACTTCTGTGCAGAACCATGAGTTATTAGCTTCATTAGTTCCAAGATAACTTTTAATCGATCTTTGGAAATTGAATTTCTCAGTTGAACTAAACCTTTGAAACCATGAATAAATAACTGATTACAGTGTAACAAGGTCAAGCAACACAAAGGCTGCAGGCCCCTTCACTCTTCCACCATGTAAGTTCTCAGTTATTTCTCAGCTTGCTCCCTCATAGACCATTTTAAGAGTTGCACAAGAACCATGTAATAGACAGCAATGTTGTCCTTGGAGGTGAGGCTGACTGTAAGGAAGATGTAAAACTTTGAATATTCATTGATTTCCCAATTGATAGTCTATTATCCGACACACTTAAAGATTATGCTATTTCAGTTAGTAATGAATTCTTGGTAAGGAAATCATGTATCTACCATGATATAAACTCTAATTTTTCACAAGATTTCAAGAACAATGGGAAGGTCAATCATGATTTACTCTTGTTTTCATGATTCAAAAAGCACACCACTTCCAACTCTTGTGATTATAAGAAGATTTATTAGTTTTTAGAGACACAGGAAACAGTTTCAAGTAGTAGGATTTCATCAGTGATTTTTGTATTTATATCTATTGATTTGGATTTTTGTATTTATGTTCTAATTCTCCCTAAAATTTCATTTTCACTACATTCTCCACAGAAAGTAACAAGTCTTAAAGGAATGAGCCACTACTAACATGCAAATGGGAGAAGGATTCTTTATCCTGGGTCTCAGACGTTCCGGCCTGAGTCAGTTTCGATTCTGTTAAGGTGTCTGGTCTTAACAGGCGCATAACATTTTCTAAAGTGAAAATATTATAATTTTTATACTTTTAAACTACTGTTTCTAAATGACTCCGTATTTAAAGAATATATGTAATGTGTCTCTTAATCATACGAAGACTTCAAGTATTTGTGTGGAAGAAAAAAACAGAGCTTTTCCCCAGTGACCACGCCCATTACATATTCTTTGCACACATTTGCACTACCTTAGCTATTTATCCTCTAGTCCAGTAACCCTGACTTTACAGACACTTAGTTGCCATCCAGTTGGGATGAATGCATTTAATCCAACAAAAGAAGTTAATTCTCTTACCAGCAGGGCAAGATTACCTAATTCAAGGGCTAGCAAAAGATAAAATACCACGATAATCTAAAGATGAAAGTAAAATAAAGAAGTTTTAATTAGTTCCTAAATGTCCAATTTATTTTGCTCTATGCATAAATGAAGTAACAGTGCTAACCAATTAAAGGATTAATTGAAATCTCAATGACTTTAAAAGACTCGTTTGGGAGGTGTTACTAAAGTAATGGAGGAAAGGAGGAAATGCATATCACTCTTCACTAAATATAAAGTTGAGTGTTACTGACACAGAAACGTTTAGTTAAGAAGGCTGTTCCATCCCTTTTCCAAAGTGACCCATGTGTATAGCCCTTGCGTGTACGACATAGCACATTTGTGAACTTCATCTAGAGATCCTACATATAGTTCAGTGCCTCTTAGCTTGATTGAACTTATCACGCATTAAAGATCTCATCTTTTAAGCAGGTTTGCATCATTTCAAAGTTTCTCCTATTGAGCAAATTGAATTGAGCAAGGAACACCGCTGGTATCCTTACCTGAACCGTATAAAGTTGCACTCTCACTTTGAAATGCACCAAATGCCATTGAGTTCTGACACAATGTTTAGACAAGAATCCAAGTGACTTTTTTCTAAGGAGCCATTTTCCTGACTAAATATATGCTCTCTTAACTTCTCCACACATCGTCGCCATTAGCCGTCACTGTTGCTATATAAAGACTGGATGACATGTCTGTGTTTTTATGATTCAAAGGAGAATTCCTTAAAGCCTTTTTAAAAATAGCTCAGACTGTCTTTCAAAATCTAGCTCAGAGGACGGCTGCAGCCAGGGTCACAGCATGGCAGGACTGAGCTGGTCATTTGTCTAATTTCAGTGATAGAGACGGATCAATTCACAATCTTTTATGTCAGCAATCAATGTCACTTTGGAAAGCAATCAAAATCATCCTATCTGCCAGCTTCCAACTCATAACACTCTTCCCACTTGCTGCTTGAGCACTTCAAGATGGCTAAGAAGGGTTCTTTCTCTCTGGCCCCTAGTGCTGAGTCCTTCACCCCGAACCGAGTCAGGTTGAGAAGGGATCTGAACATTTGATAGTATTCCTTTTTCACTTGGGCACCTGTGAGCTCTCCTTGAATGTGCATCTTCTCCGATTGCAGTCTTGAAATGGACACATGGTAGGAATTCCAGTATGTGCCCATGATGGACAACTTCCATGGGATTCACACTAAATCAAAACTGCAGAATGTGGGTGGGATTGTGTAAAAGCATAATGCGCCATTTAATTTTGTTAATTGCAGCAATTGGGCTAGCTCACAAGCTGCCTGCTCCTGAAACAGGAAGCCAATGGAAGTGGCAAACAGCCGTGTGCCCACAGAAATAAGGGGTGCAGAGACTTTCCCTTGAGTGGAAGAAGTCACATGTGATTTCACTATCCACCCAAAACTCTTTCTTTAGAATCCACAAGGGAAAAATTATCAGAATTTGTTGTATTGTAGGCAGGCAGTCAGCCCAGAAAAGCCAAACTTAGGACCCTGGGGCCCTAGGTTCTACTAAATTTCAAGCAGCCTATTATCTCTGACATGTTTAATCGTTTTGCTGCAATGTTTTTGTATTATGCTTACATAGCCTAAGTCACAAATACATTAACTAAATTCAATTTTTGCTTTCAGTATATTGTCTTCTCTTAGATTTTCCTGCAGCTCCATTTCCCATACTGATACCACGTGTGCACTAGTGATGTGCCTTGTGCTGTGCTAAAATTCATTGTCTCTGGGATCTCACTTAGTGCTCACAACTGTCTTTGGGTTCAGTACCACTTCTGTCTGGTGCAACTTCAGCTCAGGTCATTAAGCAACTTACCAAAGGCCCCTCAGATAAGGAAAAGTGGAGCTGAAAGTGGAACACAACTTTTAACAACTGAAAGTCCTCCCAGAAGGCCAGTGAATATTCCACAAAAATCTGCTTCTGATTTGGCAAGTCTTCAAGAGAATCAGATTCAAATGACCAGCGTTTTCCAGGAAAATTTCCTTTTAAAGTCAAAGATGTCTTTCAGAATAAAAATTTAAAAGAAAACAAGGTCAACCATTAAAAACAGAAATCTGCCACCTGCAATTCTAGTTTGTAGAAGACAGATCAATGCAGTCCTTCCACTCCAGACAGCAGTCCCTCCATAGCCTTCTTCTGCACTAAATTGTAATAAATATAAATTAACTTTGCTTCTCTTGTATTCTGTACATGTATGATACTGTCATCTAGATAGGTAGACTGCAAAATAAATTTCACCAATCCCTTTGACATACTGATGAGAGACTGAGACAATGAAAGAAAAAGGAAGGAAGGAAGGAAGGAAAAAGGAAGGCCACAGACCTAACAAGTCTCTGCAGTGACATTATTTTTAAGTTATAAGGTAATTCTATTTGATTGCTATCATTTTCCCTGGTTAATATCTTGAGATTGAAAAATTTAACATTTCAATGGATTTTTAAACCATTCGTTTAAACCATCACTTAAGTCTGGAAACCTTATCTTAGACTGGTGAGTTAGCTAGATGCAAAGAATAAAGCTTTTATCAAATATTTGTTGGTTTGAAGGATAAAATAATTAACACTTTTTTCCCTTTTCTCTTTAAATGTAGTTTGACAAACTGGTAGTGTAACCCACCTGACTATGCCATTGCACATCAAGCTGTGTGTGTTGTTGGAACTGAGGCTGAAAATGGTAGCCAACAATAACCCGTAAACCTTTTCAGTCCTGGTATTTATTTTTAAAAAAAAAATTTTTTAATGATCATCTCAATGTACTATTTTAAGAGACACTCAGTCATCTATCTTTCTGCTTTGATCTAAGCTGATCTTTAAGAGATTACGTTGAATTAGAAGTCACTAATTTTGCATAGGATACAGCATCTAAATGAAATCCAAATGCTACTTCATCACTTTTGTGAGACCCAAACAGGAAAGGTAACTTTGTAATCAGTATTTCACATTAAACCACTACAGATTCCCTCTGTCTTTCCTTCTACAAGCACAACCTCTACATCCAGGACTATCAGGCAACGTGTAGTCAAGTGCGAGAGGATTTCTACATTTCAGCAGCTCACAGATCAGTGCTGAGGGGTTTTTGGTTAAAGATCACAGTTTGCCGAGTCAGAACTCTCTGATTTCACCTCTATCTCATTTCTGTTCTTGCACACTATTACTTCTCTTTCCAATCCCTATACTAATTTTATATTTAAAAAATGAATGTAAACGTTCCCCAGCTCATAGTAAATAATTACCCTCAATGGCAAGCACGAAATTATGAGGTAAATTCAAAGATAAATCGACATTAGATGACTACAATTAAACAGAAAAACTTAGGGCTTGTTCTTATGGCTTCCAGAAGTATTTCTGAATCAAAGTAAGAAAGCTGAAATATTGTTTCGGTATATTGTATTTAACTTAAAACCATGACCATTAAAAAATACAGTCTTGATATTTCCTTTTAAGAAAAGATTTGAAAGTAAGCAACATCCTAAGGGTCGGAAGTGTTGTGCTGTTTTAGGAAAACAGCCTTTATTAGCACCTATTAGGTGTTTCAGGATAACAAACTCCCAGAAGAATCTCAGCTACTGTCCCTTGTGAGTTGGTTCTAAAGTGAGACCTCCCAAGGTTAGAATGGTGGCCTTCTGCGACCTCCCATGTCCGAAAGTATCAGCCATGGGACATGATGGGCACTCACGTTGGCCTGGATCCCATTGTGAGTCTCCCATCATAGGGCCCAGCATGGTTGTCTTCCCCCAGACTTAAGGAATGTACTCTCAAGTTCACTGTTGGCTTGGGTATATAGGAATTTATATTCCTTAAATGAAACAATTCTGGCCACATAAGGTGTAAGGCCAGATGTCCTCTGTGGAATAAAGAGAACATGTATTAATTTTGACAAGCATAGGATATCTGGAAGAATTCATAGTGAGTCTCATTAAGCATCACTGAAACAGTTAACGTCACAGTGCAGCTCTACCAGGCCATGATTCCTAGGTCCAGGTCACCATTACTACTTTTGTCATCATAGTTGTCACTGTTTGCACCACTGCACTGCACAAGAGAAAGCTTGTAGCTACTGATAAGACATTTGCGGAGCAAAGAGCATGTTTAACATCAAATTAATTAATCAAAATAATAAGTAAATATTACCAGCACGGTACTAACATAAAATTTCCTCTTGAGCTATTATTGAAGGTTGTCACCTACTCTGTTATTAGAATTTCAGAAAATGTAAGGTTTTGTGTTTTTTATTCTATTTTCATCTACCAAATAATCAGGTTGGTATTTCATCTACCAAATAATCTCTACTACTTAATTTGCATTAAAATGGAATTAATCAAACTCTTACTTCAAGTGTTGCAAGTATAACAAATGGAGTTGCGTGTGAGCTAATTTAATTTAACTGTTGTAATGGCATTCTGGCATGCACTTGTATCCAATCAACCCTTTAATTATTTCACATAAATTTATTTATCAGCAAATGCTAAAACATCCCTAAGTATGTTGAAAATATATTTCAAATTTCTATCATTGTGAGAAATTCCTATTTTGATTACAAAACCGTAGAACAAATCGGTATTTCAATCTATTGTGATTCTGGAAAATAAGCCCTTGTATTGGAAAGTGCTGGGCACCGCTACATTCACACAGCAATTAAACTTTGACCTGCGGTTTTCTCCAGAGCCCCCTGTGATTTCTTATTCTATTGCAATTGAGAGAAATAGCACACCATCCTGTAACCAAAGGAGACCTGTCATCTGGTGAAAGAGTTGTAATTTTATGGCCTGCTTTCAAAAAGCAAAACCATTCAACTTCCCTTATTAACCTGCCTACTATATTGTGCATAAAAGAGAAGTAGATTTCCAAAGCACAGCTTTGAAAGCCTGGTTTGAAACATTCTCCTTGGTCTGAATCAAAGACTTAGTACTCTCTGAGCAGAAATTCTTCCTGCCACAAGGAAGGGGAGGAGTAGCGGAGGTGGGCCGGCTACGCTCAGAAATAGCCTTGACTCTCACAAAGCTGCGTATTGCTGATGCTATCGATTCCTTTCTTTTTTTACAGAAACATCTTGGAGCTTGTCAAGTTGTACTGGAGGTGATACGCAGTTAATTAATTCAACAGACACTTTTAATCTTGCAAATTCTTGACTTGTAATATTGTAATCAAGCTACTGCGAGGGAACGTTAATCAGGTAGTGGAAAGGAGCAGTTGGTTCAGCCTCCTGCCATGATGGGCCCAGGCCTGAAAGAAAAGACCTCTGTGAAGGGAGAGCTAAGGAAACATGTGCTACCTGGCTCCTCAACGCTGACGCTATGAATATGCATTCATTTCCTTGTTTCTGCCAGCAAGCACTGCTTTGGGGGAAAAAAATCAATGATCCCTGGGGGCTTATTTAGCTTAGAGTGAGTGTGAGTTGTAGAGACTTGTTTCTCATGGATTCAAATCCACATGCTGAAAATGAAAAAAAAGCCACTGTCATCTGTTTCATAATTGATCTTTCTAAATCCAGTTGCTACTTTGACTCCATTTCACGAGACCACTGTTCCCAGCATTGTAATAGCCAATTTGTGAAGCCTGAATTATAATTCTGTTTCAGAGGTCAAATCTGAACTGCTCCAGCAACTGAATAATTAGATGCCTACCTTCCTAGGGGGTGATGTTTCCAGTTCCAAACTCACATCCACTTCTATCTGGAATCTACTGTCCTGTTGCTTCTCAGATCTGACAAAACCTTGGTTATGAGTTTAAAGATAACCAATCTAATATGCAAATACCTACATTTTCACTTAGAAGTAAACAGATGGTCTTGTAATTAAAAATCATGGTTCTTCTCCACTTCTCTTTTCAAAAGAAAGGTAAAAGTAAAATTGCCACAAGTTATCGGATTGTAGATTCAGAGTGTGCAAAAAAAAGTCAGCCATCCATGTGTTCTTGTAAAGTTTTTTGTCTTATCTGAGATGTCAGTTTTAGGAGTTTGCCCTAGATGAATGAAAGAAAGTCATCAGATGTATTTAACAAGCAGACTAGAAGAAAATAAAAGAGGAAGAAGGGGGATCATTTTTCTCACACTCAAAGATGTTTCTGTATCCCAAGCAATTATTTTAATGTTCCAAAGCTATTAAATAATATTCCCAATATCAGAGCTAGTATCATGGCAAAGTCATTTTACTCAACCGACTGTCAGCATAAGCACTAATGCTGAGTGAGGAAAAAGTGGCCTACCGCCATGTGACCTGTTTTCAATTGTTGGACAATGAAAATCAGCAGGTTGAAGGAAATGTTTATTTCCTGAACCCCAGAGCTAAGGTAGTTTGCAAAGATACTCTATAATGTACAGTGAGTTGGTTGACTAGGGGTAGAGGGAACATAGGAGCAATTAACAGATTCCTTCAATAAGACTCCTGGTAAGCGTGACCATGGCAGTGCTGGGTAACAGTTCCCATTAATGCAGAGGCCCCAGTGAAGTGATCGAAGAGGGAAATCCTGTAGTTTCTTTTCAGGAATTGTTGCCTTTTTACACAGCAGAAATTAGCACTGGTCACTGCCATTCCATAATTGTAGCAAAAGATATACCCCTGATAAAAGGTCGAGGGCAGCAGACACAGTGGCAAGATGGAGGGATGTTAGTGGCTTTGCATCTAAGATTATTTCCCTCCTTAAAGAAACCTTCCCTTCTGATGGCTCCTCACCATCACTGATCCTTTACAACATTGATCCTTTGCACACCAAGAACTTCTGGTGAACAGTAAGAGGTCTGTTACGTATCGTTAAGTCACGGGAACCATTTAATTAGCCTCTCTAACAGCAATGAGATTCAGGGTTACCTCGGCCTTATTCATTGTCCCACTGTAAATACATCATGTTATCACTGGAGCCTCTGGGTCCAAACTCACTCAACCAGTTTTACCAGTATTGGACTCTTAAACACAGTCTGGATCTTGAGTCTACCAATCACCTGGTCTGTGTATCCATTTTCAAACTGAAAAAAATAATTCTTGTGGGAGTAATTTTCAAAATAATAGGGGTAGGGGGACAGTTAAAACAATTTTTCAATATAGACAAAACCTCGGGACCAGCTCTGATTTTTCCTCACGACTAAGTTTCTTTTTATTGGAGGGTCTTCAAAATTTGTATTTTCCAGATGATTACTGAATCATCTTTGCTAAACCAAACTAGACATTATGAAATTATTAAAAATAAAGACTGTCCACATGAATGTAAATATCTCAATGAAAAGCAAAGAAGTAGGTCACTCAAGTGATAAATTTCATCCTCATGATATCAAATATTTGGATGCTCTGTGGAAAACTCCAGATGTTTGAAGCATACGATTTTCTGTCTGGTTGTCTGATGTTGTTTAGATGTGCAAACTGCTCAGGTGTTGTAGGCAACAGAAATGAACTTCCTTGTGCAGTAATCAATTACTGGTGATTTTTTGCTGCTAAAAATCTCTTTGTTGTGCAAAGAGAAATAAATAATGCAGAGCAAATGCTATCTGATTTTCATTTACTTTCAGCAAATGCATGAATGGGAAAAGTTTGGGGGGCTCCGTCCCGGATCTAGAAAGGCATTGCTGTCCCTCCATCAGAGAAGGAATTCCAGAAGCTCTTTCCAGGCAAGGGGCCTTCTTGTTCAGCCTTTACTCTATAATTGTATCATTGATCTTCTGCTGCTCATAAATCTGAATCATTCACAAAGTTTACTTGACAAAATATTTCAAGGCAAATAACAAATTTCTTAATTTTACATTCAAATTTAGAGGCTTCAGTCTTAAACATTCTATTTTGTAAGTTAAAAATAATTTAAACTGCCAGTTTAAATTTAGTCACTGATTTCAAAGTGAATTTTATGATGTCATAAAAGCTATTTTTCCAAAATCAAACAAAATATGTAATTTTGGGGGTTTGATTTGTTGATGTCACTGCAATTGCCACGTACTATCTGGGTTGTAATAACCTTGGGATAATTATGTTTTCCTTGTAGTCACTATGATAATTTCTAGAAAAACATAAAAAGTTGGCATCACAGGGAAAATCACTGCCCATCAAGAAAATCTGAGATGCTCATGCCACCTCCTATACTAGTTATTATTCATTAACGTTTCTACCGTGTAATGTTAGGAGGTTGCTCCTTTTTCTTCTGATTTGCTTCTGTGTTGGTTAGATGTTTGTTTCCTCAAATCATGTGCCTACTTCATTTTCTAACCTGAGGCTTGGCAGAACCACAGACCAGCTCCTCAGACCAAGTTTGTTAAGAGAACTCATGCATCAGAACTTGCTATGAGGCATATACACAGTTACACAGAGCACTGAAAGATACTGATCTGTGCAAAGATCTTGAGAAGATTTCTGAAGATAACCCAAAAGTTTTGCAGCTTCTTGGGTGCTGCTTTGACTTGTCCAACTGTATGTCCAGTGCCAAGTCAGAAGGAGCAGGAAATGAAGCTCTTGTTCGGGCCCCTCCTTTCCTCAGCTGCAGAAGTTTTCCTGATGTCAAATGAGAACTCTCCCTGGGCAGCAGAGACCCCAGCCAGGGGGTGTCACCCCCCTGGGCTGGCTCTTCTGCAGCCCACCTTTGGAAACAGGCTGTGGCCAATAGTCAGGCATCTGTGAAATCCTCCAGAGCCAGCACTTCTGTGTACCAACTTAACTCAGTGATGCTTTTCTTTTTTCCTTGTGAGTTTTACTTCACTCTATCCTTCAATAATCCTTTCACCTTCATATTCTGGGCAGGATATTTAATTTCACAGCAAAGAGATGACAATCAATCATTCACAAAGAGTTGGTATTTTTAAATTATCTTTATGTGACCATTGATATGAAAACTTTAATAGAAAATTAAAACCCCCTATCTTGAGTATGACTCCTTTAAATGTATTTAAACCTATCCTATTAAAGATATCATTTTATACTGTAAAATATATTCTTTTGGGATGCAGGGGCATAAGGAGCTGTGGCCCAGTGATGGGAACAGAAGAACTAGGAATCCACACACACCTGCGTCCTAATCCCTGGTCTTCGGCCTCAGAAACTCACATCAGCCTCATTTTTCCCATGTGGGAAAGAGAGAAAATATTTATTTACCTACCTCACAGGGGTGTTGTGAAGATTAGTGAGAGTTGGTGAAATGCCACGAGGTTAGAAAGCAATGTTATTCTTCCTAACTAGCAGGGACACAAGGCAGAACTTCGAGCAGCACAGAAGGTAGGGTAGGAAGGGAGGTGTTAGAGTTGTCTGAGAAACACAACAGCAATAACTAACCAAGCAAGGAACACAATTATTCTGCACCACTTAACACAGGCAAAACATTTCCTTCAAAAGTCTGTACAGAATTTTTTAAAAATTGCCAACTTTGTACTAAGAAAATTAACTCCTTTGATAGAGACATTGGAATTCTTATAGACCGTTTTCCTTTTACCTAACAGGATTTTACTAAATGTTTATTTAAATGCATCCAGAAAACCTGATTTCTGCTGATGTCTAAGCAGTCTGCATGCGTGGTCCCATGCATTTTCCCGAGATTCTGCATGATACCCCAGCTCAGAACTAATAATGGCAAGTGTGCTCTGAAATCCATTCTGGATAAGAGTGAGTCTTTAACAGATTTTATTAAATTAGAATTTGAGTCATCTACATTGAGTTTTCTTTATACTTCTGATATGATGATCTCTCCCTTTAAAACCCAGTAGGAGGATGTAAAACCTTGTTTCTGTCCATAAACCCTGAGTTGTTTCATTCTCACATTATAAATGTATTTTAAATATTTCAGAGAAGTGTTTACACAAGTGCTTCAGCAATATATGGACATCCACGTGCTTACATGTGAATTCTACTGGAGAACAGAGGAAACTGTTGAAAACACCTCAGAGAATATCCTGTACAATTTCCCCAAAGTAACATATTTTCTTTTATTTCAATGATTAAACCTGATCAGAATGAATGCTAATGGCCATGATTATAAATATTTGTAAGTTTGGAGTCACAGAGGCATTATTGTGATGTATGAACGTAATTATGAAACTATACTAACTGCAGATAATGCTTTTGTGATGTGGCTTCCCGAAGTAAAGTTGTTGTATATAAGTATTATAATTGTACCTTTGTTTAATAATTATGTCCCTTGGCAAAAAAAAATTACACTATTAATATGAAATAGGGCTCTGAAAATTTACCTTGAGGAATGGGTTTAAAATTATGCCATACTTGGGGCTAATGTAACATCTACATTCAATATAATCTTTTCCAGTTTCAAAATTTTATTCTAAAATCAAAACCTTAAAATTTCAAATTGGCTGACCATTTCAAATGCATAATGTTAAGATTTCCAAAGCGTGATTTTAACCTGGGAAATTATCCAATCCATTAAAAAAATCTGTACTGCCACAACATTAAAATAAGTATTATTTTTGCTAAACTAAAATTACTATATGAAAACAGTAAATCAATCAAAATTAATTTGATATTCCTGGCTACTCCATTCCTCAATTTCTACCTTTGCATCAATATTTTTCAAACCAAAAAATGCAGCAGAGTATTCTTTTCCCTGTGAAAAGAAAATCAATCTGTTTTTATTTGTTTTTTATACAAAAAATAAAGTTAACTCTTTGAACTTGATTCTGGGGCTTGGAATAGAAGGTGGCAGCTTTTCAGGTGGGTTCGTCAGGATGAGAGGAGACAAAGTGAGGAAAGCGTCATTAAGAGATTTTACCACAAAAGTAGAAGTGAAACATGTCAGAGCCAGGCACCTCTTTCAAATGACAGAGGCTAAATTCCTCATAGAACAGCTGAAAATCAAGTGGAGACGATGTATTACTGAGATATAGGTTATACGTCTAATTACTGAGACGAAGGACAACTCCGCCTCTTAGGTTTCCTCATCCATGGAATGCTCCAGCCCCCTCCCCGGGAATAAGATTCTTGCAGAATAACTGGGCTTTAGCAGGGAAATACGTAACGATGCTGTTGTGGACAAGATGTTTGTAAACATCACATATATGATAATTTGTAAAGCTAGTTGTCAACATTATTCTCTACTTTTGGTTAACATTCTCTTGCTAGACAAATGATTTCAAACCCAGAGAGGGAGACAGAGAGAGAGAGACAGAGACAGAGAGTGACAGAAACAGAGAAATTCTTTGATCAAAGGAGTGTTTCCTAATTTATACAACCATACTACTGGAATATTATTATTACAAAAATTCCTTTCATAGCTCAGTGGTAGTTCCCAGCCAAAGCCTTTCTTTGATTAAAGGGACAGGACAAAGGAAGACTCTAGTTATACTTAGGAATCTATGCCTACTAACTAATTTCTGCTTTTATTCTGTAGTCAGACAGCTCCGTGGCCCCAAGAAAGATATAGTGATGGATATTCAAACATGTTATTCCATCTCAGAAGGAAGAGAATGACCCATAAGCCAGAGGCTTTCTCCGTCTCTGAAACCACATTGAACGTAGGGCCAAGACAAAAATTGTTTTAAATTGAGAGCAAAACCATCGTCCCTACTGATTCCTTCTTAATTTTTACTAATTTCTTTAATATTGGAGTTTCTAGTAATGACAATGCCATTTCATATGATGGCTTTAATGCAGAAATGGTTCATCTGAACACATGTCCTATCCAGTAGATTGGAGACAAACACTCTTAGCACTAATATAATGGTTTGACTGATAACATCTCACAGAAAGAGAAGTGTTTTTGCTCAGCATTAAACCATTGAATAATACAAACCTGCTTCCAAAAGGCAAGGATTTTTGCTACTGACATTTGTCTTCATTTTTCAGTTATTTTAAATAAAGTAAGTTTTACATCTAACTACCTCAGCTACTGTTGTTTTATTTAGAACCATAAAATCATGCACTTTGTAAACAAAGAGTCTTTTCATTTAAAATTTTAAAAGGATACTTGGTGCAACGTAGTTCTGAAAAATGTGTGTATGAGATAAGCAACCCAACCTCAGGAGGGTATACTTCCGTTTGTTTTGGTTTGGGGTAAAATCTCCACCAAGAGAGGCTGCTCTAAATTTGCTTAATTTGCCTTAAACATTTTGTGCTCCTTTCTCTGTTTAATTTTTGTTGTTTTAATTCTTATCTGAAAAAAATGTAACAGGTGGCAGATGGGCAGCAAACTGAAGAGGACCATTAATTTCTCGCCTTCCTATTGTCAACTGTCTGCATGACGTTCTGATTGTGCAAAATGGCCCTTCCTGCACTTCTCTCTCCATTGCAGAAATAAGGTGTGTGTGTTGAGGATGGTGAAGACATTTCTCTTCTAGCAGGTGTCACACCTGGACCCAAGTGAAAACCTTGGCGATTCTTGTGCTTTTCCTATGTAAACATTGTACAAATGTATTTGGAGTTTTATTTGCAATGAATAATTAAACAAGTTATTAAATTTTTTGCTTCTTGTAAATATATATATTCGGATTTCCTGTATCCAAACATCCCTTTAGCGTTGGGATCGTAAGCGTGTCTTCATCGGCTGGTGGCTGCTGTCTCCAGGCAGTGACCCCGAGTGCTCTTGTTCAAAGCACAGTGTGTGGAGTAGTGATGTCCTGCAGTACCATAGTTCCTTTGGTCTGTTAAGTAAGTTGCAATTTGTGATGAAATGAAGTGGAAAGTAGTTCTTCATAATAAATCAGTTTCCTTGGTTACCTGATTTTTCTTGTAAAACTTTAAAAAAAAACTTGAAATTTTATATATTTGGATTTTGTAGATTTTTTTTATTTTATTGCAACACAAGGTACCAAAATCATTAAATAAAGTACACTGTGGTCATTTTAACACAAGTCTGAGTTCCTGATCCTTTTAATTCCATAAAGGGAGCGAGGCACAGCTGACACATGGTGGGAAAGACATAGTCCTGCAGGAAGTTGACGCTCTGCCCTCACTGCCACAGTGACCAAGCCCCGAAATTCCTTAGGCCACCTCGATATTCACATAGTAAATGTCTTTGCTGCCTTTCCACGTCACATGCAAAATAGCAGATGTCACTTGTGGCCCTCCTCTGAAATCAAAATTTGTCTGCATCCTCACTTCTTTCTCAAGACGTTCCTTCTGCTCTTCAAGCTCAAACTGCCCGCTGTGTGTTATTGGCCTTGCTTTTGCTTTATTTATAGGGCATCACTCTATCTACTCTCCCCTGTCTTTTCATATCTTAAAGTCATTTTTCATTCTGTCTACCATAGTGCTAAACTCACCCAAAAGAAGAACAAAGACCTACTTTTTTCCTCTTCCTTCTTCCCTCTTCCTTCCTCTTTCTCTTGTTGCTTCCTCCTCCTCTTTCTGTCTTTTCCCTTTCCCTTTGCTTTATTTTTGAAATAAAGTAGAAATTTAGGTTATTCATTCAAAACATCGAAATCCTCACACACTTGTTTATGATAAAATCAAAGGAATTCCATTGCCCTCTATTTGATTTGATCTATCAGCACATGACAGCCAGATATCCAGCTATCTCACCCAGTTCTCCCTCTGCCAACACCTATGCATTACCAAGGCTCTCATAGCTCCTCAATTATTCCTCATTGTTTTGTGTGTGTTTGTATATTTTTCACTTAGTAGATGAGAAGACATAGAGTCACAACCTTTAATTTGCAATTATTTCCTTACTTCTACATTACCTTTCTCTATTTCAAACAGTCTCAAAAGATGTTTGTTTTGTCTTTTTGTTTTGATTTTTTAAACAAAGATCAACAGATAAACATAACAATGAAACCAAGTTTAAAAACAAGTTAGTAGGACAGCTGCAACAGTTGATACATTGTGTATTGCCATCTCCCCAGTAGTTTTTCAGAGTACAAGACATAGACATGATATCTTGTCCAAACAATATTAGCACAAAACTTTCTTTTCAAGGAACTAAAAGAAGTGAGCTGTAAAACTGCATTAACTATCTTGTGAATACATATTTTTCCCTTTGTTTCTTTTCCCTTTCTTCCATCACAGTTGTTTTCTTTTGAACAGTTTTTTCCCAGTTCACAATATCTACTGTACATTTTAGGTGCTATTTAGTTGTCCAGTTATGAGTATGGTTTTGAGTTGCCCCATTTACCTCTGAAGGTCTCCAGTTTATGTTGCTGAGTGGTTCTCCATTATATATAAAGACCACATCTTTTTATGCATCTCTCAGTTGATGGGCATCTGGATTGTTTCCAAGATTTAACCATTACAAATTGGGGATCAGTAAAAAAATCAATTGATAACAAATATTGGCAGGACTCCAGGAGGAAAGAATTCCTTCTCCATTATTGGTGGGAATGTAGACTGGTGCAACCACTGTGGAAATCAGTATGGAGATTCTTTTAAAAACTAAGACTAGAGGTCCAGTTCAAACCAGCTATTCCCTGTCTGGATATCTTCCCAGAAGAATTAAGAACATCAGATCACAGCCACAGATGTGCACCCATGTTTATAGCAGCACAACTCTGCCTCTCCCTTCCCTTCCCTGTTGTCTCCCTGCTGGATTAGCACAACCCCTCTGGATATTGGGTACCACTGGCTCCTTCCTTATTGTACTCCAACCCACTTCCAATAGAAACTGGAGCAATGTTTCTAAAATGTAAATATATTCAAATTGGTGACAGGTTCATTGCTGCCCTTAAATAAACTTCAAAACATCATAACTTGCAACAAGCTGTATAGCCCCCACATGGGTGGCCCATTCAGGTTAACGCTCACACAGCTCTTATGTGACTTTGTGTTTACCCACAAAGTCTTCCATTTGCTCAGGAAGTTTTCAGGCTGGCACTCTCCCCACCGTGCTGTCTCCGATTGCCCTGCATGTAGCCTCAGCTCTGCTGTGCCTGCATCCTGGGCTCTCAGAGCTTGCACTGCACTGCATCCATCCACCTTCAGAGTTCTTATCCTTGTAAGTGCTTAACATTTTGTTATCTCCTGAACAAGTTTATAGATACACTGATAGCAGAAATCACACATGGCTTGCTGGCTATTATGTGCTCCATACCTCACAGAGGACTGGACACAAAACCCAAAGAAATTTCAATATCAAGTTAATTCCATATTTTAGTTTAATCCTTTTTAGAAATTCTAAGGAAATCATTACTATTCAGACAGACCAATCAGCATTCAAGTTTCATAGACTGACTAAAACAATCTCTTTTAAGAGGGGTTAAACTGTTCCCCTACCTCAAAAATCAGAATGCCAAGTTCCTACAAATGTGTCATTATTGATGATGACCTGTGGTTTAGTCATCTTGGGCTACTATAAAAATTACAACAGACTGGGTAACCTAAACAATAAGCATTTATTTCTCATAGTTCTTGAGTCTGTGAAGTTTGAGAGTAGGATACCAGCAGACTCCATTCCTGGTGAGAGCTCTCTTCCTGGCTCATAGAAGGCTATTTTCTTGATGAGTTTCTTATGGCCTTTGCTCTGTGCATGTTCATGCAGCTAGAAGAGCAAGCAGGCTCTTGAGTCTCTTCTTATAGATCCTAATCCCCCTCTGAGAGGGCCCTCACAGCCTTATATCACCCTAATCATCTTCCAAAGACCCCATCTCTGAATGCCATCATGTTGAGGGGTAGTTTCAGCATGTGAACTGAAGGAAAAGTGGACTACAGTTTAGGCCACAGTAATTTGTAAGAGCCCTCCAATGCCAAATCTGAGATTTTTGTCCTTTTTGTAACCGAATCTAATTAGGCACATAACATTTTTACAGAAGATTTCTTGGGATTAATCCTTTCTTGGGATGACCGCACTGATCAACAGTTGCTAAAAGCTAAAGTCCTTGTTAATTTCAGAGACAAAAAATTCAATTGTTAAACTTGTCTTTAATAAGAAAAGAAATTTAGGGCAATTAAGAAGCAATGAAGTCTTTGCCAAAAACAGCAATTAATTTTTTAAAAGAAGAAAAGGCAAATTAAAAATGGCCCGGAAATATTACAACAGGTACAAGTGCTATACTTTAGAATAGCTAATACAAAATGTTTCAAAGAAGGTGTACATCAGTATGTTTCAATTTTATTTCCATTTTCTTACATACATATGTTTCAGGATCTAATCAGTTTAGTGTATCTGCATGTGACAAATGACAGAATTTGAGCTCTATTTGCAAATCAACTCACAATAATTTTAAACAGAAACACAAATTCAATGATCTGTTAGAATGTGTGTTCCAGTTGACTGAAAGATGAATTCTGGTGATTGGTATTCTTCATGTGAACCAGATTTGGAAGAAATACCGGCCAGGTGGGAGAAGCAGAGCAGAAGGACTGAAACTCATTGTCATGTTGTTGCCCTTATGTGTATGGCTGAGTCCTAATGATAAAACACACCGGGAAAAGATTCAAATGTAAATCTTTACAGCACTTCCAGAAAGGAGTCTCAAGATGTTAGGACAAAATCTGCAGGGTTACTTGTTCTGGTCTACTTCTGTGGTGTTGTGTTTCCTTGTTTGTTTGTTTGTGGGGCTAAGGAAAGAATACAGAGTTCTGTGCATTTTATGCAAACACTCTTCATTTAACTACACCCAAATCCACTTTGGGATCACATCTGACATCTGTCTGAACGAATCACCTGCCAAGTTTCTGCATTTTGAGCATAGCCGAACCCGGCAGGGTGATGATTAGGCTCCACCTAAAACCCTATGATTCCCACTAACTTCCATGCCTTGGTTTCTGTAAGCAGTGCACCACTTGAGCGAGACAGGGATGTCTGGATAAACTGAAAGGAGAGAGAGATGAGAGAGAGTGTGTGGAAGACAGAAGATGAGTGAGGACTATTTCAACCTTCTTTCTCTACCCTTCCTCCCCTCATCCGTAAGCCCCCATTCTGTTTCACTGATATATGTTTGGGCTGAGTTACATGCCGCCCAAATGTGTATATTAAATCCTTACACCACAGTACCTCAGAATGTGACCTATTTAGAAATGGAGCTTTTGGACATAATTAAGTTTAAATGGTGATCTGACAAGCGGGAGGTTGTGAGTCTGATCCCCTGTACCCTCCCCCCAAAAAAAGTTTAGATGGTAGACTCTAGACCAGTATGTTTGGTGCCTTCATCAGAGGAACTTTGTAGAAAAATACATATCAAAAATGTTTATGTGCAGAGGAAAGACCCAACGAGGAAAGCAAGAAGGTGGCCTCCTAAAAACCAAAGGAACTAACTCTGGTGACACCCCCAGCTTCAAAGCTGTGAGAAAATTAATTTCTGTCATATAAACCACACAGTCTATAATATTTTATTATAACAGGCCACGTAGTGTAGTACATTTAATCATCTTACTATACAACTATTTTTTTTTTTCCGTTTAACTTTCAAGAATCCTGGTCCCAAACAATTCTAATAGGCTCACTTGATTACAAGCACAGACTGACAACCTGCACAAAGGCTCTGAGATATGAGAGTTCACGGGTTCACAAATTGCAGGAAGCCTGGTCAGAGACAGCACTATGACAGGGTGAGTTAGGTCAGCCATGTCCCTGAATATAGAACAGTGTCTGAAGACCGAAGAGGTCAGTGGTCAGTTATCAAATATGACATTGCTTTTGGCATTTCCACAAACCTGGTTTATCGCTGTTACACATATGAACTAGGTTTTGGGCACCGTTTAGAGACTATCATCTGAAGAAATGCTACTGCCTTACTCTGTCCTGCACTGGAATCTTCTCCACCAGATTCATTAGTCCATTGACTTTAAACTCAGTCTCACACCAAGCCTCAGGACATGAGCAAAATATAGAAAATTCTTTGCTAGAACATAACAGAAGGGTTTTCCACTCTAAATCCCAATATAGTTCCATTTCCAATTGAAGCCTCATCAACCCAGT